CAAAATTTGTCAAACTTCGCGAGGTTGTATTTTGAACTTAGACAGCTGAAGTTACATTAAGAAACATAGGATGGAAAATTTGAGGCATATAAAGTTAATTTCAACTTACATTTCATTCTCATATCACGTCTTTCTTCGTTTATTACGATTTTAAACAAGCCACAGATCGACGTATACGGTATTTACTCCCATGTTCACGTCGCCATATTAACTTCTTCCAATCACTCGATTACAAAACAAATCATCCCAAAACAAAGAATTCATAGTCGACTTTTAAAAGAATAACCGTTAATTTGTAAATCGTTGAAAGGAAAGCAAAAAATCGTCAGCTAAAACAGCTTCTTGCTAACTTTCTGCTTTGTTTTGAACGTAAATGCAATGAGTTTTGTTTCTGCCCGCGATTTTTTGGTCAGCGAAGACAAATTTCCCACCTGTTCCCCAAAACACGATTTGATATAAAACAATTTTATATAAAGACAGATTCGATAGTTTTTCAAATATTTATTTAGAACTTAAATACATACAATGTTAAATACTCGACAATGTCTATATATGTATTTGTGCGAGTGTTTATAGACCCAAGTTTGGATATGTCATGCAACTAAATCTAATGTTTTTATTACGTTCATTTTGTTTTAAACTAATTACACACTATTTAAAGTTGATTCAAAGTACAATTAAATCATTCTGAATGTATCAGAATTTTACAGCAATAACCAAGTCCATTCAATCGCCCGTTTCTGAATGAATTGCGTTGTCCATGGCTCGCGAGTTTGTTAGTTCTGCAGTTCTGCTTCCTATTTTCCTTCACGACCCAGTTTTTAATGCGCTTCATTTCAAAATTCATTTCTAAACAGCAGTATTCTAGCGATTTATGGCCTTCGAAAGACAAGCGAAATTGTATATTGTTGATAAATAGTTCAAATTTAAATTATTAAACGAATTAAAAATTCAGTACGTTTGATCCTTGATAACTTTCGTATCGTTAGTTATCCCTTTTCTGGCCGTATACCAATGGATTCATCTCACGTTTCGCTTCATTTTTATAGTACGTTGAGCCCAACATATCTTATTTTGAAGGTTTTACTTTTAAAGCGAAATTTTAATCCTAGCGTACAGGCCATATTACATATAAACTTTACTTGGAGTCGGAAAGAAAGTTTTATTTGTAGGGCAGCGCATTTTAGTTCTGTGTCTGGTTTAATACAATTCAGGGGAATTATACAAGTTCTTCTTTAATTCAAATTGATGTGAGTAAACGAGTTTCGATTATTTTTTTGTTATTATTCATTCAAATTCATTCTAATGTGTCTGGTTTCAAATGTAACTGCCGCATATTCCAAATAAGGCAAGACAATGCCATGTCCCAAGGGAAGGTCTTGGTTTCTTGATTTTGTTTTCAAACACAAAGGAATTCATCGCTTGTTTGTTCGCCCTAGCTGCATACGTCTTCGGCTGTCATTAAACTTATTTTTGCCATCTTTAAACTGTTGTTGAGCGGCAAATTTGCAGAAATTGCTTTCCAAAGAAGCAAAGATTGAACGACTCAACGAAATAGTTACTTTATTGAAAGAAATACGACGAAAGTTTTGATTAGTCTGGGGAATTTCAGCTGAACCAAACGAACTAAGTCAGGAATATTTTAACAGCAAGACTCGCAATGGACTGGCTTTTGAACAACTATTACAAGACGAAACTGTGCTTATATGAGGTAAGATGTATAAATTTTGTCAACCAAAGTCTAATTTGAAATTTATTAATTCTTAAAAACCATGTTCTCTTTGAACATAGTTTCGTGTCGGTTTATATTGAGGTTCTAATTCGCTCAGCGCGTTGAAATTTGAATGTGGTATAGGCCTATTTCAAAACTGGCGGCGGCAGACATATTTCATACTTGCATTTGGTTATTTTGTTATGCCTGTTTGCGAAGTAAAAGCCGTTGCTTTTACAATCGATTTGGTATGGTTGTAAAAGAACAAGAACTATTGAAAGATTCCAAATTATTGAGCGACTTTAGTTTCCTTGACTTTGGGTGGGATTGGCGTGTTCATGATGAAAGTATATAAAAAGAAGGCAGCTTTATAACGCAAAGAGATTGGAATTTTATAATAAAATCCTAATCTTCTTGCCTTGTAGTTGTATAATAAAGCTGCCTTCGCGCTTGGCTAGATATACTTATATAGGCCGAGTTTTTCTTTTTTCTGTCGATATCATGGTATTAAGAGAGCCTGCCTTCTTTTTCACATGAAGATATACAGACTTTTGTCAAGAATATAAGCACAAGGCGAAATAAGCTTGTCAGAACAGCCTTTATAAATATTTCGGTGAAATAAATCTATTTTGGATTGTTTCACTCGAATTACTAGAATCCGTAAACGTAATCTGCTGCTATAGTTGTCAAAGTGACGTAAACAAAACATGCGCATGAGCAGAACGGACTTGACTACTGCTTTAACAAATTTTCAAGAAACACAAAAGAAATATATTTATCGCCATGCAATCTTAGACATAACAGGTTTTAATAATCTACGCATGGTATACAAATTATCTATATAAATTACTAAATGAACATGGATAATATTATAATGAAAATGTGCAAATAAGACAATATAGTTAAGAAATTCAAGTTACATGATAAGAGGTTGACATGTAACCAAAACGCCACAACATCGCACAGGTGAAATAAGCGATGTTAGTATTTTAATTTCAGAGGCATAAGTGGATCGAGATATTAGCGTGTCGCCTCTTTAATTAGATTAAAGTCATCCATAGGGCTTGAGTGGACAGTAGATTGAAATAACCTATGGGGATTTGTGTTATTTTACTGTCACAGAGTAAGCTCTCCTGTGCTCTCTCGCAATTTATTAATGAGCACCAGTTTCTCTTCAGACTGCGATGGACTGGTGTCCGTCTTGCAATCGGCTGTGTAATATATCATACACAAGAAGTATATATTTTGGTTTTAAACACAATAGCCAAAACTTTTGGGGCATCCAGTAAATCACTGTAATAAACCCTCCAAAGTATAGTATAACTTTTTAGTGAAACATAAAATATTGCAAATAAATTTTAACGCAAAAATGTCCATAAAGTCTTGAAAGAAAAAACAGCGTGATCTTAGCCCAACCCAACTTCACTTGATGCAAATTGACTTCAAGCTTAGTTTGGATTTAAATTTAGAAATAAAGCTACATTTTCAAGCAACACTTAAACGGGCTGGGCTTTCCGTTATGCTTGACTAGAGATTTCGCTAAATCTGGCTCGCCTAGTCAGTAGTCTATAAGATGGAAATACAATTTAACTTATTTCTATGTTTATGACTATAACGACTACAACGACTAAGACTCTTGCCTCGTATCCAAGCGTTAAATAAAGAACTACGATAGCTGAAGAGTAAAATGTACTCTAATTCCTAATAGGAATCACCCAGCCATTGTAGTACTTCATGTTTCCTACCATATAGCGCCTGGGTATGAGGCAAGTAAAAGTCTACTTTTCTAGAAATAGTTACCGTAAATGATTCAATATACGCCTGGGGTCTTTAATATATTTTCGTACTTGAAGAGGAGTCGTTTATTAGATAATAATCGTCTATTTTTACATAAGCAATGCTTTCCTGCAGTTTTTTCCTACATCCAGTTTGCAAATAACGTAAATAAAAGTCAAACGTTAAACGTATATGCTCCAACACACATAATTTCATGCAATTTAAGTGTGCAATCTAATAAACATTCGATGTAATCTAATAAACGCCTCTCCAGAGACTGGGAGCGCTTATTAGATATGCGTTGTTAAGGTGGCTCGATACAGTTTTTTTGGGAAAATTTGTGATTTAGATCCGTATTTTTGGACAAGAATATTTCTTGTTTAAAACAAAGGCATCTTATACTGTAAGATACTTTCTGTTTTTCGACAAGTAACAATTTTCCAAAAATACGGATCTAAATCGTGAATTTTCAATTTTTTACAAATAAACTGTATTGAGCTACCTTAATAGAAAGGCGCTGGGGCGCTTATTATCACAGCTTATCATCGACCTCGATTAACTTATTTGAGCCAAGGCGTTAAGACGAGGATTTTATAACACAGTAACATAAGCGTACAGGGCGGGAGGGGGGGGGGGGTTGGGAACTTAAGTTGGAAAAAATGTTTATGGTGTCAATATCTTTTAAATTTTGCCCTTACACAGAAAATGTTTTTGATAAATCGGGCGAAATGCGAAAAATTCGGGCAAATGTGTTTCTGCCTTTCCTACTTTTATTTTTTCCTTCCCGTACGTTTATGGAGAGTAGGCGTTTATTAGATCATTTACGGTATCACGTGACTTGTTTGTCAAAATTATTTACCTTGATGTAAGTATGAGCGCAGTTTCAATTTAATATAGTACCTCGATTTCTGACGGAGAGAAATCGGAGCTCCCTGCAAGGAGCGAGTCTGTGTTGGTTTCGCCGTAAGTGTATCCAGGTGGAGGTTGGTAGGAGGCACCAAATACTGTGTTGGAGTCGTTATTTGATCCCGAATAGATGTCAATGTACAAGTCAGGACCCCAACCAAAGAATGGTCCCCAAGCACTATGACGGTAAATTGCCTGATTGTGATTCTCATTTTTCAGCGGAGCCTTGAAAGGCGCAAGGTCGTCATTATTTCGTAGAGAAAATATAAATGATCCTGGAGCAGATGTCCAACCATCTGTCAAAAATAAACACAATAAACTCTGGTTAGATATGATTACCTCGCTCGACAGAACTGAATAATGAAATAGATTTAGATTTATTGAAAAAAATGAACGTTTTGCAATCAAGGATTGAATTACACGGTTTTACATTATAAATTTTTTATAAATTACATTATTCAAAATTAAGCTATACAGGAGTATACCAGTCTCGTCCCCAGGTTTCAACTCAGACGCGCGGGTTCGTGGTGCGATACAGGCGGCAGTGGACGGGTACGAAACGGCGCAGCAAATCAAAGCGCCTGGGGACGAGGCTGGGAGAATACGTTCTAATTGCATATGGAATCAACAGAACTGAATTACCTGAATGATTACCTCACACGACAAAACTGAATAATGAAATATTTCATAATAAAGATTTTGCGTAAACGGCTTTGACTATTTTATAATTATCAAACGACGTTGACCAACAAGGGAGTACGGTAGAACCAAGGGCGGAATCGAGATTCATCAAGAAAGTCAGACTTAAAGGAAATAAGGCGTTCTATACTAAATACCAGTGGGAAATAGGAATATAGTGCAATAATAAATATATACGCAGTGTTTCCATAGGCGTACGGGAAGAAAAAAATAAAGGGCAGAACGAAATTTGCCAAATTATTCCAATTGTGCCCGACTTGTCAAAAAAATTTCCGTAAAAAATTTCCGAACGTGGGGGGGGGGGGGGGAGGACGAAAAAATTTTGAATGTATTATAATTTATTATAACTTTTATACTGAGGGGAGGGGGGGGGAGGCGGATGACGAAATTTTCGACTATTCTATAGCATATGTCCCCAATATTTAGGGACTTTCTCCTTTTATTTTTATAATAAGCCAATCTTGCGCAACTGTAAAACAAATATTACCCGACTGACTTAGTCTGCCCAACATTCTGGGAAGCTCATATTTATATATTCGTGTTCTGCATCATTCACTTCTTTTGAAATTGATTGTTTTTACGGTCTATGAACATGAATATATGAATATAAATCC